GAGCCCTAACACAGGCCAGCTGCATCAGTGGGTAGCGAGCGGTTAGAGCAACCCTGGACTCCACACACATCCCTCCACTACGCGCTGAGCGGGCTAAACCTGGTCGACGTAATCCATGCCGATATAATTGGCTTTCGATTTGCCTGTTCGCGCCGCGTGGAGGACCGCGTACGAGCACCGCTAATTGATGGGCTGGGCCACGCAACGTGGCCCGCGACCATGCCAGTTTCTCCTTCTCGATCGCGGTAAAATCGCCATTTTGTTTCTCTAGCACCTGTACCGCTGAAGCTGTTGGTATCGCTCTTAAGCCGCCTCGTAGCCTGTATTGCGAGAATAGTCGTATATAGACAGACAGCAGACAGACAGACAGACACACACACACAGACAAAGTACTGTAACCCTCGCTGCACCTGCATGCCGAGGGTTAAATAACACTGGTTTTGTTTTGTACTTTGCTTTTCATTATTTTGGTACCCTTACTACCTTACTTGCTGTGTATCATTTTCTTCCCCACAGGTTTAATGACAATGAGGATTTTAAACCTTCGAAGGAATCTGACCATTACGCCTTCTGGGCTGGCAGTGTGATTGGTCCGTTTGTGCATATCCTGGCCATTGCTCATGTGTTGCTGTGGGGACTGCCCAGCTCTGTTGTTGGAAGTATTGTATCCTAAAGCTTGTTCCAAGGTTTTCTATGCTGTAAGAATCCTGGGGTTCATGTCATGCTTAGGATACTACATTATTGGTCTCTTCAATGAAAAATTGGTTGTTGTTGTGGCTGTTCCTTTAACACACACTGATGGCATACCTGGGTATCATCTCACTTTTAAATGTAAAGAGGCGTAGATGAAGGGCTATGATTATCACTTGTGCATTAAAACATGGCGAACAATACAAGGCAAATCAGGCACATAATGTTCCTCTGTGCATGTAATTTGACAAGTCCTACCAATCCCCACTCGGATAAACTTTGGGTCTCTGCTTACGGGTTGTATATAATTTTTCGGATGCAGTGAAAACCTATCCCACCGACTACCGGTTCTTTCTAATCTTGTCACAACATTGCAGTATTTAGGATGTAGGTGTAAACTTCCTGTGCATATAGTGCTATAGTCTCTGTTGATGTGACACAATCAACTTATGTTTTATTTCGTCTCTGTGCTGTTTTCACATAATGAAGGTGTGTTACCTTTATTAACCCTCGGCGCTCATGCGCAGCGAGGGTTACAGTCAGTTGGTCTGTGTGTGTGTTTGTGGGGTCATCGAGGAGAAAGGAAGGGAAAGGGGGAGAAAGGAAAGTAGCCAAACACAATAAGACCAGAGGCTTGAAGACTTTTGTCAACTTCACTACACACAGCAGCTCAGTGGTAAAAATTACATGTATTTTTTAGATGGACCAGGGTACCCACTTCTGCTTCAGTGTTTTGCGCTTGTGCAGCCCTAGCCTATCACATTGTAATTACACAGTCTCACTCATACAAACACATGGATGCCCAGCCTTGAGAACTGGGGACGGTGGGTTAAAGATTTTTTTATGGCTAGCCAACTCTCCCCACACATCCAATGTCACAGACTCCTATGTAAAATCTACACATTTACAGTTCTGTGTTGAGGTAGTTACAATCACATACCTTAACTCTCTGGGGGACTTATAATCATATGGTTCTACTAACGCACAGTGGGGTATAGCATGGAGTTATGGTGTCATAGGTATGGAATTTCCTAAGGGGGAAGTGGGTTTGTTACTCTAGGGTCCTGGGGTGATGTATTTTACTCCTGTGATACTCACAAGTGTAAAAATGGTGTGTGTGTGTGGGGGGGGGGTGATCGAGGAGAAAGGGAGGAAAAGGGGGAGAAAGGAAAGTGACCAAACACAAACACAATAAGACCAGAGGCTGAGAGACTTTTGTCAACTTCACTACACACGGCAGCTAAGTGGTCAAAATTACATGTATTTTAAGATTTACCAGGGTACCCACTTCTGCTTCAGTGTTTTGCACTTGTGCCTATCACATTGTAATTACACAGTCTCACTCATACGAGCAGCACATGGATGCCCAGCCTTGAGAGCTGGGGACGGTGGGTCAAAGATCTTTGAGGGCTAGCCAACTCTCCCCACACATCCAATGTCAGAGACTCGTGCAAAATCTATAGCTTACAGTACTGTATTGAAGTAGTTACAATCAACATACCTTAGGCTCTCTGGGGGACTTGCAATCTACTAATGCACAGTGGGGTATTTATAGGGAGTTGTGATGTCATAGGTATGGAATTTCCTAAGGGGGAAGTGGGCTTGTTACTCTAGGGTCCTGGGTGATGTGTGTGTGTGTGTGTCTGTCTGTCTGTCTGTCCGACTATTCTCGCACAACAGGCTACGAGGCGGCCTAAGAGCGATACCAAACGCTTCAGTGCTACAAGTGCATGAAAATGAAAATGGCGATTTTTCTGAAACGACAGCATTCGAGCGGGCACAGTCCCAGACCACGTAGCGTGGCCCAACCCATCAATTAGTGGTGCGCATGCGTATTATATTAGACGCGAGAGATAATTATATATACCCCAAAGGCGATCGGAATTCATTAATGTTTTAATTGCCCGTGACGTCACGGCTGGGGTGTATGGGCAAGTATTATATAGGACTTGCGTTTTAAAACTCGCGCCACGCAAACGTTATATATACCGTATTTCCTTGCATCACGAAAAGTTGAACTCCAGACCTACCAGTAGAACTTTGAACCGAGAGCGTAGCGCCTACCGTTCGCGAGAAAGAAGTTGTTTGTTAGACATGCCGGGCCAGAGGTGTTGTGTATGTGGAAATTCTCGAGCGAACGAACCAGCAGTAGGATTTCACCGCTTTCCCCAAAAGAACCTCGAGAGGAGAGCTGTGTGGTTAAGCGTGTTTGGCAAGACCGAGGACGATGTCACATCTAACAGCCGGGTTTGTTCGAGGCACTTTCCAGGTGGAGCAGCCACCAGCGCAAATCAGGTACAGTATGCCGATTAAAGGGCTCAGAGAGGTCTGCTCCAGGAATATCGGCTAGCCATACGCGAAGGACCTGCACGTTTCTCGTGAACGGTAAGTGCTACGCTCTCGGTTCAAAGTACTACCGGTAGGTCTGGAGTTAAACTTTTCGTGATGCTTCACTTAAAATGAAATACGGTATAACGTTTGCGTAGCGCGAGTTTTAAAACGCAAGTCCTATACTTGCCCATACAAAAACGCAGAGAAACGGGACCCCAGCCATGACGTTACGGGCAATTAAAACATTAATCTACATTCCAACGCTTACGTGCAACTGGGCTATTATGCCGCGAATCGCACTGGGCTTACCGCGCGCTCTGTGTATATACCTTGGGGGCTCAGGAAGTCACAACGAATGACATGTATCGACTCCCGTATGCTATCTGCTACTGTAGCTAGCCCGTGTCAGACTCTCCGCGAGGTATATACTAGCGGGAGACCACGAGTACAAGTATATGAAAAGTATATTTATAGCATACTAGCCACAGAGAATAGAAAAGAAAGAAAAACCAGATGTCACCCTCCACCCCCCATCCTCCACCCAAGTACATACACAGACACAAACAACACAGTTGCACACAACAAGGTAGGACACCAGGTGCCCACTGGGGCGGTGGGTTAAAGAGTCTTTTATGGCATGCCAACTCTCCCCACACACCTAGTGTCCAAACCCAATGACAAACGATCACAATGACAGTTACTATACAGAGCAATAGAATATATATTTGTGTATAAAAATAGAAAGAACTGATCTTAATGAAAAAATAAAAAGTAAAAGCAAGAGGCGGTAAAAATCTCTGTAAAATAATATTGACAAATAGACAAAATAGAAAAATAGAAAATCTGGAAATCAAGCCCATCAATTAGCAGTATCGCGCATGTGCAGGTTTGCACTTTAGTGACCCTGGTGTGTAGTGTGCTAGTTCAGCATCAAAGTCAGTGTGCTATATTGAAATTAGACGAAGTTATTTTCACACAATGCCCCAAGGTTAATGCGTGTTGAAACAATGTATGTGTTTTTCGACCTGTGCACATAATGTGCAGAAACAATTCAGTGTGTCATTAACCCTCGGCGCGCATGCGCAGCGAGGGTTATAGTACTTGGTTTGTAAGTGTGTCTGTCTGTCTGTCTGCGACTACGCGCAACGAGACAACAAAACAGCGATACCAACGGGTTCATTGCTACACTGGCGTCATTTTATAAAAGGTGATTTTCGTATAACTACTGCGTTCAAAAGTTATGGCGTGAAAAGCGAGTCAACAAGCCAATTGCAAATTAGCATAGGCTTACCTCGACCGCGTCCGCCTGCTCCGTGTATCTTGAAGGCACTAGAAGTCAAAACGAAGGGCATGTGTCGACTCCCGCATGCTATCTACTACTGTAGCTAGCCCGTGCCAGACTCTCCGCGAGCTACTAGCTGCAGATACCACGAGTAAAGGCATAAAAAGCCCAGCAGACACAATTCAGTGTGTCATAATTTACAATGAATGTGTTGATTTTGTACATACTTCGCTTTACCCACAGTCTCTGTATTGATATGACACAATCAATTAATTAGTGTTATTTCATCTCTGTGCTGTTTTCACAGTATCAAAGTGTGATACTTTTGTCACACTTTAGACGATGGCATGCATAATTTTGTATGGTATAATCAGGTGTCTTATTTCACGTAGACCGCCAGCTGTCAGTTAGACACCTTTTGCTTTTGGTTACATAACGTTCATAGTTCATTATGCAATAGCTGCTTTCCCACTAATGCACTATTTACACAACTACAAATAATTATGCGTTTACAACAACAACCACTGTAAGACTACAAGTGAAAATTTACAGTGAAATTAGAAGCTCCAGAAAAGGAGACGTTGGCCATTTTGACAGAAGCAGGATCAGTATTCTCTTTACTGATCATAGTCTGGTTCACTTTCTCGGTGTCTGCAGGTTTAGATCGACTCTCCACAGCTCTCAAATTCAAAATATCAGACATCTTTTCTTTCAGATGTTCAGTCACACACTTGTACGATCTTACTCCAGCAGAACTACAGTGTCCAGTGCGTGCCATTATCAGCTGCTCGTCTAAACCAGCATCAAAGAGACGTGTTGCGCTAGTGGCACGGAGAGAGTGATTGCTGTAATGCCCTGCTATTCCAGCAGACTTGAAAAGACAAGCAACAGTGCCTGCCAACACATTGTGATCAATTTCAGAGTCTTCCGTCGATCCCACGTGTTCTTCCGGATCCGCGTTCATTGGCTGGCATTCCTCACCGACCTCCGAAGCAGTATCTCGTCCGTCATCTGTGTCCCAACCTTCCACGCAGAGATTCCAGCGATCACCAGGGGAAAAATGAGTGGGATGGTCACCAGTTAGCACAAGCAAGCTCGAAGAAACGACTTCATCCTCCGTTTCACTCACTGTAGTGTCCGCCACCCCCTAAGCAAGTCAGACACCTACTGCACGCGACAACTCGGTTTCAGATTCCTCGTGGTCGGTGACGGATATGCAATAGTGACCTCCCACTCGGAATCTATAACCTCGTAGACGCACGCTGTAGGTGTCTAACCTACACATAGACCTTGCTCTGTAGTGTACTAGTTGGGCATCAAAGTCAGTGTGCTATATTGAAAGTCAATGTAGTGTGTCATTTGCAACGAATGTGTTGATTTTGCACAGACTTTGCTTAAAAGAAATGTGTATATAGAATTCACATGTTTCAGTCCCTGAGTTGATGTAACACAATCAACTTATGTGTCATTCAGTCTCCGTGCTGTTTCGACATTACCAATGTGTTACGAAGATGTGTTGTTTTTAAAACAACACATGTGGTGTGTAACATTAAACACCCCTAATCTTGAAGTATCAAACCAACCTATTACACACTACTTCCTTGGCACAATTTTCTAAAACAGCACATTTTCCCCATCCTACCAACATTGGTTTGCTGAAACTACATAACGGAATTTACTCACTGTTTAATTGTCGCAACCTAAATAAGGGTCTGGCATTATGGAGTTTCCTAGTGTGAACAAAGATAATTCCAGTGTTCAGGGTTTGAAGGAGATACTGAGTGGGAGGGTCCAGACTATCAGCATACTCTTTTACAGCCCATTTACCACAGGTAAAAACATGGGTCACACTTTGAAAATCAAACAAATTGGACCAGTTTTATCTATGTAATATTGCCTGTTTGTTAATATGACCCAGGCAACTCTTGTACCTATAAAGGAAAGGAAGTTTTTCTGGATGTGTTGTGTGTTTGCTTTGCCTTGCGACCTTCTTAACATAAAATCTTACAGACAGCCGTGCTCTCTACCATGTACCTGTCAGCTGTGGGTTATGGCATGGTGTTTGGTGGAATATACATCAATAGCACATCTGATGACGATGTAACAGATCAATTAAAAGATTATGATAACGGTTTAAAGCTCATGTTTGCTGGAGGGATTGTTACTACTTTATTCTTGGTATGTTGTGTGTTAGTGTTTATTGTATAATATCAGAGAGTCGGTTAGACTCTCTATATAGGGACGACACGGTGAAATCTCACGTGATCCGCGTACAAAAC